CGAGAGGCCAGAATGGTCGCTGAAGAAGCGCCAAGACGTGCCAGAGTCAAGCGTGAAAGAGAGTGACGCATCAGCTGTGTCGCACATGTGCAAGCAACAACAGAGGATCCTACGCTAGAGACGGCTAGAGTCACACGTAAATAATAAGATTCAGCAACACTACATGGCAGCATACATGGCAGGCACAGACTACAAGGCAGCGACTATCTCAGACATGTCCATAGTAAACACAGGCAGGTCATAATGGTATTGCAGCCCTGTCTGGGACTGGCACCGCATGCCCGAAGCGGTTGCGGTTAAGGTTGTTGAGGTGGCTAAAGCAATGCTTAGGGGAGTGATCACGACTCCTGCTGACGAGGCCGTCGCGTGAAATATTCTGAATTATATACTAGCAGGTCCCAGCCGGAGGGCCGCGCTACGCCCACCTGGGAGGCCCATCATTGCAGTCAGTGCTCCACGGACCGACAGGACCCCTGTGCTACTTCAAGGCCCACTGCTGAAACTGCAGTGGGTGCTGCTGTTGAACCTGCAGCTGCTGTTGCTGAACCTGCCGTTGCTGTTGCTGCAGTGGCTGCTGCTGCAGCTGCGCCACCGCCACACCCCCAGGACCCACCTCCTCCAACCGCACCACCAGATTCAGTACCCCCTCCAACGCCAGCTCCTCCAGACGTACTAGTATCTCCACCACCTCCACCTCCTCCACCCCCTCCACCCATGCGACCACCCTCGCGACCTTGCTACTAATAAGAGGTAGCAAATACAGCAACTTCCATCAAGCCAGCAGGCTCAGCAACAGAGGCCGCAACAGCAGGGGTAGCAAGCAGGGGCGGGCACACTGCTCAAATATGGGAGGAAGCACAGTACCAAAAGAGGCGGCTATAGCACAGAGGGGGTTTCGATCTAATTGAGATGCGCCTCAAAGAGGCCGATAGTGAATAGCATGGGGTGCACAGTGAGGAAGGCGCCGCGGGCAACCACAAAGCGGAGGGAGGTGGGTCGCAAGGAAGTACAGTGTGCTATACATAGGGGGTAGTCCTCAGCAAGAAGCGAAGTAGTGCAAGTGGCGCAGAAGCGAGCATCAAGCGAGCACAGGTGCGTAACTAGATCAGCGACGGTGTGAAGCAAAGGGAGATATGGTGGTGGTGGCGCAGATGGAGTAGTGGAATGGCGAGCGATAACAACATCCAAACACTCATTTGTCGTCTTCATCTAGCTAAACTGCTCCCGCTCGTCTGGGGGACGGTGGCGACCGATAGCGAGGCATGCCTACTCGTGCATGTACTCCAGGCGAACCATGCGGTACTCCTTCTGCTGGTCTGTAGTGGCGTCAGCAGTAGGAGGAGAAGGACACGGCGGGGTTGGGATCTCACCAAAAGCGTGCTCGTACAGGGAAACATCCTGCTGAAGCTGACTCGTTAAGTAGAGCGGGACATCGAGCAGCCACGACGAAAAGTTTACCGCACGAACCTCCGCATCGAAACACAGAACCGACTCAGTCTCCATAGTAGCATGAAGCGAGAGGAAATGGCCACAGGAGGAGGAAGAGCAAGGCTACAAGGAGCAGAGACGACAATAGGTGCAATTGTAGTGGCACGTCTGGTACACGCGGCAACAAAACGGAATCTGGTGGGTGCGGGCGGGACAGGCGGCGCTGGCGGCGCGGGCAATGCGGGCTGTGTGGGCGGTGCGGGTGGTGCGAACACCGCGGGTAGTGCGGGCAGCGCAGGTGGCTCGGACCTTGCGTGCGGTGGGGCAGGGTGTGATGGCATGGGCTTGCGCTGGCGCTAGAGCTGGCGCGGCTTTGAGCTGGCTGGGTGCTAGCGCGCTAGTGCGCTGGCGGCAGAAGCGCGAGCACCGACAGTGGCACACGCCGCACCAGTTGGCATGCGCAATAGTAGCAGCACGAGCAGCAGCGGTGCACGGGCGGCGGCGATAGCGCGGGCAGCACAGGCTGGGGTAGTGCGGGCGGCACTGACGCTGCTGGAAGCGCGGGCGGCACAGGCGCGTCCAGAGGCGGTGCGCATGTGTGGGCCCACAATGGGGTGGCTGGCACTGCTTGCGCTGGTGGCGTGCTGCTGGTGCGCTGGCACCGGCGCTGCTGGCGCACTGCTGGCGGCATGCGAGCAGCGTGCGGGCATCACAGGCAGTAGGGGCAGCGCACGGGCTCAGGGGCGCGCCAGAAGGGTGGAGGGGGGATGGTGGGGTGTAGGGGGGGGGGCGCGACAAGGCACTCCAAGGGGCGCTAGAGGAGCAACGGGGCGCTTTATGGGCGGTTTAGGGTAGTTGGGTAGGCGGAGAAGAAGCGGGGACCTAACCTACTCGTTGATACCATGTAAGAATGAAAACTGGATGACTAGAATGACAATGTACAAGGGGGTATATGCAAACCTCGACCCTCTATAGTGCACGTCTATCTAGCACACAAGACAAATACATACAAATGCGTTTTTTTACTTCGACACTTCTATCTTAGGTCCCAACTACCAATGATTTGCCATGACATCGACCATCACGACGACTCTCGCGGCATCTAAGTCGATCGTCAAAGCTGAGAAAATTCACAGCCATAGAATTTGACACGTCCGGGGAGATCGAAGGATCGAGTTCTGCGTTCGTTGGAAGGACCGCACAACAAATAAAGATAGCTTGGTGCCTCTGAGCAATATCAAAAGACACCTTGTTTGTTCTGCGTATGTTAAGAGTTGGGGATTCCACGATGTACATGCATTGACCTAGCGGAGGGCTTCTTGAGGAGGGTAGTAATGTAAGAAAATGTTTAAATTCATTACTACGCATCTGTCAAATGTAATTCTATGCTTGTAGGCTACAGTGAGTAGCACAATAGGGAGTACAGTTGTTAGGGTTGCATATTTGTACTTCCACACTTGCTAGTCTCATGATTCCGTTGCATTCTACTCTTAAGATGGTATCATTGTAGGTTCGAGTTCCTTAGCCCTAGCCTAGCCCTAGCCTAGTCTTAGCGCCCTCCGCGCCTTAGCGCCCTCCGCGCCCTTTCCTGACGAGCCCTTTGAGTTCAGTGGACCCTACGCAGAGCTGGTGGGCTGCCTCATGTACCTGATGACTTGTACTCGACCGGACCTCGCCTTTCCACTCAGTATCCTTTCTCGCTTTGTTGCGACTGGGGTGACACCGCCCTGTCCACTGGACAGCTGCTGTGAGGGTGGCGAAGTACCTGACGACTACATCAGGCATGGGGCTTGTGCTTGGAGGGACTCAGCCAGTGGCGTTGACTGGTCACTGCGACTCTTCCTACGCTGACGACGTGGAGACTCAGCGTTCGACTCAGGGTTACTGCTTCAGTCTGGGAGCTGGTGCTGTGTCGTGGAGGTCTACACGGTCGTCGTCTGTGGCTACTTCCAGTGCAGAGGCAGAGATCTACGCTGGTGCCATGGCGGCACAGGAGCTTCGCTGGTTGACCTTCTTGCTCGCCGACCTTGGTGAGTGGCCTCGCTCTGCACCGACCTTGTACGCTGACAACAAGGCCATGATCCTCCTGTGTCGAGAGCCTTGACTGGAGAGCAGAGTGAAGCATATTGACGTGAGGTACTTCCTCCTGCGAGAGCTGCAGCGACGCGGCCAGGCACGCCTGGATTTTGTGGCCTCAGAGGCCAACACTGCAGACGTCTTCACCAAGGCCGTGGCGCTTGGTGATCACCACAGGTTCTGTGTGCAGTTGGGGCTTGTTGAGGTAGGCCCTCGGTTGCTGTAGTCTTGTTGTTTGCTCTGCTTGTTGTGCTTCCTATTTATATCCTAGTGAACTCTTGAACTGGCCTTGTGGCCGCTTGCTTGCGCTCGGAATTTGTGTGGTGTCCTTGAGATCCACCCTGAGCTTGCCTTGTTTCTTGCTTTGACTGGTCTTGTGACCGTTTGTTCACCTTGCTTGCTTTGATGCCCCTCACTTAGCCTATGGGGGTGTGTCAAATGTAATTCTATGCTTGTAGGCTACAGTGAGTAGCACAATAGGGAGTACAGTTGTTAGGGTTGCATATTTGTACTTCCACACTTGCTAGTCTCATGATTCCGTTGCATTCCACTCTTGAGAGCATCTGCCGTCACCGCGTACAACACACTTCACAAAATCTCGACACTGTTTTCGCCTGTTACTGGTTTGTCAGCAGGGTTTAGGGTTTGTATAGTGGGCCTCACAGTTTTGGGGCAACTTTCAAGTTCCTAAGGTCTTTGAACCCCTCCTCTCAAATGTATACCGGAGCTTTAATTGTGTTCTCCACCTCGCCCTCTACTTTTGCCTTACCATGTACTGTTGTATAAGGTCAAGTTTGTCTATGCCCCGGGAACAGCTAACTTTTTGTTATTTGGTGTTCGCTCAGTCCTTAGCTTACGCTTGTATTACCTTGCTTCCTCGTTGAATTGCACTCTTAACAATAGCATTTTGTTTGTGTATTCTGTGCTTACTCGGAATCGCTCTGTAGTGAACAAACGTTTCTTGCAAACACATGGAAGCCGTGAAGCTGTGGGCTGGACCGACGTCAGCCGCACCAGCGTCAACACACCCAAGAAAATCGAGCCGCGAAATTATTGGTGATTGCGCTGGAGCTGAGCAGCAGCAGGGGATCGTGCTTCCGTTTCAGAAATCGGGAAGCACCGACGTATCACAGAAACTAGACAGCACCTTGGACGAATGTCGACGTCGCTACTAGCAATCGCAGCGCCTCTTATCAGCACCTCGGACGAATGTCGACGTCGCTACTGCTCAGACATATAAATGCCTTACATTGGCGTTCTTACCAGCATCCCTTCCTCGCTCGATCTTAGGCCTCCGCAACTTGTGCTCACGTACACTACTGACATACATCACAAAAGCGCAGCTCCAGATTGAGATATTAGCAGTTTGATATCAGCCTGATCTGAAGGTCCACGCAGTAGAAAATCTAGCCTCGCGAATTCCAGAGCTTATCACCGCTAGCATTTCCCCCGCTGTTTACTGTCACCTGAAGAACCTCTTCCACCAGCAAGTCGCAATGGCGACGCTCTCTAGTACCACCATCTCCCTGCTCTTTCTCCTCACCCTCGCCTGCCTCTCGCTTCTTCCCTTCGCATGCGCCGGTCCGCCCAAGCGTGTCGCGCGCACGCGCCAGGCGCACGAGGAGTACCGCCGTCAGCGGCAGCTGAACGACATCGAAGTCCGCCCTGGGCGCCCACCTCTCCACATGTTCGAAACGAAGGCGCATCACGAGAAAGAGGAGCGCGAAAAGGGTGCAACGCGCGGAGGCGCTGCAAGCACTCCGATCCAATACCTAGGCGGTCCCGTGATGACCGGAAACCCGTCCGTCAACGTGTACATCATTTACTACGGCAGCTGGCCGGCAGGATCGGGGCAGAATGTGATCGAGAATTTCATCCGGTCGTTGAGCGCGGACTCGAGCCGACAGGGGAATCCCGCGGATCCCAAGGTGAAGCGCTGGTGGGCGATCAGCGCGGCGTACACGCAGCAAGGGAAGGATGCCATGCTAAAGAACGTCAGCTCCAAGGTTTGTATCCTGCCACGTGGATAGCCAGGACCTGTAACCGAGGATAATATGCTGAGTTTTCCAAACGCGAGAGTGGATGACGGCATTCCAGCTAAACGCAGCCGCGCACTCCCTTCAACTGCCTCGTTTTTATCTCTCAGCTTGATGAATCAATGCAAATTCACGCGGTTTTTCGTTCAGGTGCGCCTCGTCAAGACGGTCTACGATAACTACTCGGCGGGAAAGCGGTTTGGCGAGAACACAGTTTGGCAAGGTACTACTCGGCCGTATGAGACCGATGCTTTGAGATCCCCTTGAAAGCAAAACCCTTTTTTCCCCTTCCAGCATTCCATGATCTCCTAAGCTGCTTTAAATCATATTTGCACCATCCGTAAGTGTGTCTGGGTACGGTTGTTGAAGTAATACTAAGAAAACCATTGAAATCCCTTCTGTCGTCGCAGTTGTTTCGAACAAGATCGGCGCAGGGAAGGCGTTTGCGTACGATCCGCATGGTATCTACCTGCTTCTTACCAGCAAGGATGTAACCGTCCCTGGTTACTGCAGCGAGTATTGCGGATGGCACACCATGGACTATATGGGGGCAAACCAGGTCATTTACTCGTTCGTGGGGCATCACGGGCAGTGCGCCGACGGTTGCGGTGGGCAGACCACGTCGCCCAACGGGAACCCTGCGATCGATGCGACGGTTTCCACAATCGCTCACGAAATCGCGGAAGCAGCAACCGACCCTGATGCTGCGAACGGGTGGATGGACGCCGACGGTGAAGAGAATGCGGACAAGTGCTCGTACGATGTTGGTACGACGAACATGAGTCAGGACAACCGCGGCAGAAAGTACGAGTACAATCTCGTCGGAATGAACAACATGAAGTTTCTGGTGCAGCAGAATTGGGACAAGCTGAAGAACAGGTGCGTGACGCAGAGGAGGTACCAGTAGGGGGAGGATGTGTAACGCTCGAAGAACTTTCAAGCTTCTTTCTGGAGCCTGGAATAGAATCCAATAAATTGCTGAAGAATAAACGTTGTTGCTGCAGTGCATGTTGCGCTGGAAATAAGTTCTCCATGGATGTAACCTCCAATATAGTCCAGTATCTCATATTCTGCAATCTATCAGCTGAGTACACATCACAGTATCTAGGATGCAACCTCGAGTCCCTCGAGTTCTGTTTGCAATTCTCGGCTTCTCATGTTGCTGGTTGTCATGTTTAGAGGCTGTCCATAAAAGCGAAGTGATCAATACCGCGTATCAGTAAGCCTCTCATGTCGCAGGTACTTCAGAGCCGTGCGGCGGAGTCACCTGCGCGAATTTGCACCGGAATCCCCGCTCGGCCTGGGCTTGCGCCAAGAAAACGCTGTGTCGAACCACACATTTTTTTTTGTCAGGTCAGACATGGGGGGTTCCACAACACCGCCACGAAGAAAACTATATTCATATTCAGGTCAGTTACCGCAGTTTTAGTTTTTTTCCAAATTGGATTGCACAACTTCTTGATATTCTTGGCGATTTTAAAATATTTCCCGACATTTCAAACTACCCGAGCTTGTTCAACCTATTCCATTTCCCATTCCCCCTCTCCTCCCCTCCCCACGCCTTCGTCTTGTGCGGAAGAACCACCAGGAGCGCAGGGCGCAGCGCAGAACAAGACGCACATGCTTTCTTCTGACCAGTCCATCGACTTCCATTTCGCCAAACCGTGTTTGTGAAATTTGGTTAGGATTGCTTCAGATAGGTTCTGGTCGGTCTCAGATACTTAGGTATAGTTGTAGTTGGGTGAAAGGGCAACCACTGATTTGCACAACAAAGTCAACGCGCCAAAATCAGGTTCGAACACCGGCCAAATGGAGGTTCGACAAGCGAGCGAATCATGCTCGAAGACCCAGCATGAGTAGATAGAAGGGCCCCAGCTTGCTTCCTCCTGTGCAATTCGCAGGTCTTTTTCAGGCGTTTTGAAAACAGGTGTTCCTGGCAGAGTCTCCCTAATATTCTCGAGATAAGTCTTGTTGCGTTTGACGAGTTCAATGTCACATGTGGAGTACGCAGAAGACTACATGCGATTGTGTTCTTTCCATTGTGTAGTTCCGGGCAATGTGGAACGCATGTGTCGCCTGCAACATTTGAAGAGTATTCGTGACTGCATTTTCCTTAGCCGCCTGGCTAGGGTATGACTTCTGAACACAGTCGAAAGATCAGCAAGTCACGAGGCGACAGCTCATCACCTGAGATTAGCGCAGCACGCGGCGCACTCTCCGCGGAACGCGTCGACGGTCTGGTTGCCGACTAGCGTATGCTCTACGTCGCAACCATCGTCGCAACCACCATCGCATCATCTCTGTTCCGACGTTGGGGGATACCAGATCAGCGGCGAATGTAGCGGCTTGATTCCTGACGCGTCGCACTGTTACCGTGTTACCCCACCCGGTCTAAGAGACGAAAGGAGAGAACAGAAAGGGGAAGAAAGAGGTGGAAAGAATAGAGGGAGACGGAGAAAAAGCAAGGAGCGAGCTGGAAAGGATAAGGAGGGGCGGAAGCGGACAGGAAAAGTGAAAGGCGGAAAGCGAAAGGGAAGGGCGGAAGCGGACAGAGTGAGTGAAAGGCGGAAGCGGAACGAGAAAGGGATAAGCGGAAGCGCACTGGGAAAGTGAAAGGCGGAACCGGAGAGGGAGGGTGAAAGGCCGAAGCGGAACGGGAAAAGGAAGGGCTAAAGCGGAAAGGGGAAGGGAAAGGCTGAAGCGGAAAGGAAAAAGGAAAGGCGGAGCTGAAAGAAAGGCGGAAGCGGAAAGGGGAAGGTGGAGCCGGCCAGTGGGCAAGCAAGTGAGCCTTCCGCTTCCCCCCTCCATGCCCTTCCAAACCACCCACCCGTCCGATCTCTCTCCCTTCTTCCCATCTCTACAACCCTCCCCGGATCCCGCCTCCTCCGCAATCCAAACCTCCCCAGACCCCCCTCCCGCGCTCACCAAGCCGTCCCTTCCGCCCGGCTCCAGTGCAACCCAGCCGGGGGGGGCATCAGACTCGACAATTGCTCTACCCTCTGATCCTTCCAAATCAGATCCTAACCACTCTAGTGGCGATTCTTCCAAGTCGGATCCAGGCCTTTCCAGTGATCCCACGGAGCTAACAACGCCTATTCCCACGCGAGGTGGCGGGCTTGGGGGTCTGCTGCAGCTCAGCGATCCCTCCGCTCCCCTTCCTCCGCCTCCCAACCCGTCACTATCACCATCACCGCCACCGCCCTTCCCCTCTCCCCCTTCTCGCCCGTCTCCGTCCGCTCCCAAGCAGCCCTCTCGTGGGTCTTCCTCAACCCAAACCCAACCAACCCCTGCTCTCCATCCGCCACCAGGACCGCCCATTTCTAACAGCAGCAGAAACAGCAGCAACAACAGTAGTAGCAGAAGTAACAGCAGCACACCGTTTCTGTATCCTCCATCCCGACCCTCCTCCTTCCCTCCCCCACCCCCTCTCCCTACCGACCCGCTCACCTCCTCCACCCCCTCTGCCGCCCTCTCCACGCCTCTCTTCATCGGCCTACTAGTGGGTGCCTCGCTGCTCCTCTCCGCCCTCCTCCTCATGCTCTACTGCTTCGTGGGCGACAGACAGGACAGGCCAGGGCCCAGGCGCGCCTGGCTATGGAAACCCGCGCCCCACACACACGCCTCTGCCGGTCCGGGTAGTGCCGGTGCTGCGTCTGGCTCAGCTGGTTCTGGGGCTGGCCCCTCTGGGAATGGAGATACGGCTGCCCCTTCTGCTGGGGGGAATGCACCTGTGGTTAGTTGTTCTGGGGATGGTGGGGTGGGAAGCGATGGCAGCGGCGGCTTGTCGTCTCAATCGCTGTCCAGTCAAGAGCATTGTGACCCTGAGGCTGGCGGGGGAGAGAGGGCGGAGGAAGGGGAGGGGGGGAAGCAGAAGCGGAAAGGGAAGAGGTGGAGGATTGTTCGGATTGGGAAAACAGGTTCGGGTGGTGCAGGAAGTGAGTTAGGTTCGGAGCCAGGCTCGGGAGATTCTTCGTCGGCATTGGGAAGCAGTAGGACGAGTAGTAGCAGCAGTGTAGATTCGTCCTCTTTCCCCGATCCAGCGGCCAGGCCTCCCAAGCCGAAGCACAAGTCATGGTTAAGTGCGTTATCAGGGAAGTGGGGAGACAAAGCACTGAATAGTGTTGCTGCGGATTTCGAGGCGCAATTGCGGCAGGCGATAAGGGAGGAAGGAGAGTCTGCATCGATGTGGGCTATGGATCGCTCTATAGTGAGTATACCGTCTGGGAGGGAGTTTGTTGAGTGTACAAAGTCGGGACGGATGGTGTTTGACATGGAGGGGACTCTGGTGGAGATAGAGGAGGAAAGTGAGGAGAGAGAGGAGGATGAAGGAGATGATGGTGAAAAGGACCATGAGAAGGAGGAAGAGTGCATGGAAAAAAATAGCAATTTTCCAACTCCTTGATGGAAGGTCAAATATGATCACTTTCATTTTCATAGATTGTTTGATACTGAAGTAGTGCTTAGGACACTTACACGTAGCTCAGAATTAAATGGCACATAAGTTTGATATGATAAAACTAGGGAATTTTGTAGGGAATGCTGTGAGAATGTTTCAGTGCTTGGTACTGGTAGTAAGGTTTGTTCTGTAAAAATATGATTGAGACAAGTGTAGATCTTTGAGACCTTATCGAGTTTATCCTCCATTATCCTGCCGTGATGCAGCATATGAGATCTGCCCTGCTCGGTTCTCCGAGTCCAGACAATCCCAAGGCAAAGCCGAGGACGAGCAGACAAGGCACCAAGGCAACAGAAATTCGCGAGGAATCTCCTCCTCCTCCTCCAACAGGAACAGAGTCGACGCCCGCACAGTCTAAATCTAGGCCGATTAGTGCCTGGTTCCACCCGTTCCAGTCGTGCCTTCGCTTCTAGCTTTGAAATCAGGGAATTAAGGCCTCAGCATCGCTTTCCATTTTCTAGATCCGATCTCGTTCCGCGATCCCATTTCTCCATCCCGTTTCTCGATCCCGTTTTTCGAATCTCGAAATTCGAAACCGCAGAATCCTAGACCCGCTGATCGGAAGCATGGCGATGACGTCGGGATTTGGGTTGCAGTCGCTGCTCAAGGAAGGGCACAAGCACCTGACGGGGTTAGAGGAGGCGGTTCTAAAGAACATCGAGGCGTGCAAGCAGCTCTCGCACATCACGCGCACGTCGCTGGGACCCAATGGTGAGCTCCTGGATTCTTGTACGCGATTCGTCGTATGCGATTCTTTGTATGCGCGATTCGTTGTGTGGATTCGTGACGGACGGTGCGCTTACTTGTGTCGGACCGTAGATCAGGCAGCGGCAAAGCGGTACTCTGGAATGTGGTAGAGGTTGATACAGGCTAAAGCAGGCAGCCGTCGCAGGACGCGATGCCGTCGCAGGGGCCAAGCAACGGCAAGTCGGCGGCAAGCTGACGTTGCAGATGCAGGAGTTAGCTGGATCTGATCCCCAGCCTTCGATTCGTCACAGTTGTAGGCTGTAACAAGTCGTGTGTCGAGGTGCTGTGACTGTAGGCGAGTTTTGTAAGATGTAATCCGTGTTTCGCAGCAACTGGTTTATTGCAACAGGGTGTTTGGTCAAGTTTAAATCAGCAAACAACGTTCGAGAAGCGGATGCATGAAGATCACTTGCCGCTAGTCTTGGTTGTCAAGAGACCTAGAGTTGGGTTAAAAACGCTTAGGAACGGCGAGCTAGCGCAGCGGTAGACGGCTAGATTTGTAGAAACAGTTAAGCGTGCGAGGGTTGTCAAGTGCGGATAAGATCCTTCCTTCCGGCTTCGCCATGCAAACTCCCTGCCGGTGCCCTCTTCCTGTCAGTTAGGTTTGTTCTCGCCGAGAGCACGGTCCAAGCGTGGGGTTTTTTTTAGTACGGCCGAGTGTAGCAACTTGAGATTCTTACCCTTTTTTCCGTGTGTATTTCCCCTGCTTCCTCCTTGCAGGCATGAACAAAATGATAATCAACCATCTGGACAAGGTCTTCGTGATGAGCGACGCGGCGACGATGAGCTGGAGGTGCAGCACCCGCCAATAATTATCCCTTTTTTCCGGTGTATTTCCCCTTCTTCCCCGGGCAGGCATGAACAAAATGATCATCAACCACCTGGACAAGCTGTTCGTGACGAGCGACGCGGCGACGATCGTCGCAGAGCTGGAGTTGCAGCACCCGTACAAAAATACCCTCTTTATTGGGTGTAAATTCCTTTCCTCCCCGTCCAGGCATGAACAAGATGATCATCAACCACCTTGACAAGCTGTTCGTGACGAGCGACGCGGCGACCATAGTCGCGGAGCTGGAGGTGCAGCACCCGGCGGCGAAGCTGGTGGTGCTGGGGGCCAAGGCGCAGCAGGAGGAGGTGGGCGACGGCGCCAACACGGTGGTGTCGCTGGCGGGGGAGCTGCTGGCAGGCGCGGAGGAGCTGATCCGGTCGGGGCTGCACCCGAGCGAGATTATCGCTGGATACGCCAAGGCGACGGATAAGGTGAGGGTGGGGAGGACGAGAAGGAATGGGGGCGGGGCGGGGGAATGATTGGACTGGGTAGGTATGTGTGCTGTATGTGTGAAGGCATGGGAATGAGTGTGGGCTCACATACCTCACAGCGGAAATGCTCATGCAGTGGGGCTTGCAGCCCTGCGAGATCATTGGGGGGTACAATGACAAGGAGTGAGGGGTTTGATAAAAGTAACATTTTGAGACGTCTCAAAATGTTACTTTTAGTACAATGCCAAGGAGTGAGGGGTTTCAATGAGAACGAGGGGCTTGAGAACGATCGAGAGTTGGGGTTTTGAGACTGAGAAAGTTTTGAGAGAGGGTTTTAAGAGCGAGGGGGTTGGGGGTTTGGGGGTCTTAGAGTGGGACGTTTTGACAGAGAGGGTTTTGAGAATGAGGGGTCTGAGAGGGAGCGGTCTGAGAATGAATTTCCTTTTTCTGAATCACAGGTGACATTCAAGGAAGCACGGTCTCTTCTGCGTCACCCTTCCCACCTTACCCCCACCCTTCCCACCTTACCCCCACCCTTCCCACCTTACCCCCACCCTTCCCATCTCACCCCCACCCTTCCCACCTTACCCCCACCCTTCCCACCTTACCCCCACCCTTCCCACCTTACCCCCACCCTTCCCATCTCACCCCCACCCTTCCCACCTTACCCCCACCCTTCCCACCTTACCCCCACCCTTCCCACCTTACCCCCACCCTTCCCATCTCACCCCCACCCTTCCCACCTTACCCCCACCCTTCCCATCTCACCCCCGTGCGTCCCCTTCCCTTGTCGCCCGCTAACCAGGTGTTGGAGGAGCTCGAGACGCTGGTGGCGGAGGGCAGTGACAAGGTGGACGTGCGGAGCAAGACAGGCAGAGGTGTCTTATCCATGCTGCACCCTCTTGTTCCCCACCCCCGCTCACGTCTCTCCCCCATGCGTTCCCTTCCCGTATCACCTGCTTCCCAGGTGTTGGAGGAGCTAGAAACGCTGGTGGCGGAGGGCAGTGACAAGGTGGACGTGCGCAGCAAGGCGGAGGTCGAGAAGCGCCTCGTGGCGGCCGTGGCCAGCAAGCAGTTCGGCAGTGAGCCCGTGCTGTGCCCTCTCATTGCTGACGTGAGTTGCCGTTGCGTCAGGCTGAGGGGCCTCTGGCTGTGCCTCTGTGTGCACTTGAAGTTGAGGCGGATGTGGGAAGTGGCTCCTCGTGCCGGCGCTTGCCAGCAAGCAGTTCGGCAGCGAGCCCGTGCTGTGCCCTCTCATTGCTGACGTGAATGTGCCGAGAATGCGTGCTGGAATCACCTGTGGAGAAGCTGGGTGCTACCTGCTCACCGCGCTTGTGATTGCCGTAGGGGTTCTGCTGGCGCCTCTGGTCGTGCCTGCCTGCCTATGATTGCACCACTGCTTGCACTTGAAATGAGGCGGAGGTGAGAAGCGCCTCGTTGCGGCCGTCGCCAGCAAGCAGTTCGGCAGCGAGCCTGTGCTGTGCTGTGCTGTGCTGTGCTGTGCCCTCTCATCGCTGATGTGAGTTGAGTTGCTGTGGAGAATGTGTTGTGGAGTTGGAATCACTTCTGAGAAGACTCTTTAGAGCCGGTGCCCTGGCCACTTATCGCTAGTGTCACTACCTTGCGCCACTGCTTGTGCCTCTTCCTGTTCCCAGTGATCCCCTATCCCTCCCCCGTTGTGTCTTCCTATCCCCTTTCCCTTCATCCCTCCCTATCCCTCTTCAACCCTTTCCAACCCTTCCTATGCCCCCGCACAACAGGCGTGCATGCAGGTGTGTCCCAGCAACCCCAACAGCTTCAACGTTGATAATGTGCAAGTGGCCAAGATACTGGGCGGCCAACTACTGGCCTCAACTTGACCAATTCCTATCCCCCTCCATCCCTCCCTATCCCTCCCTATCCCTCCCTATCCTTCTTTATCCCGCTGTCACCCTTTCTATCCCTCCGTACCACAGGCGTGCATGCAGGTGTGTCCCAGCAACCCCAACAATTTCAACGTCGACAATGTGCGAGTGGCCAAGATACTGAGAGGCAGGCTACTGGCCTCAACCTGACCACTTTGTAACCCTTTCCATCCGTCCCTATCCCTCTTCATCCCTCCATAACCCTTCATACGCCTCCTTTCTGCAGGCGTGCATGCAGGTGTGTCCCAGCAACCCCTACAATTTCAACGTTGACAATGTGCGAGTGACTAAGATACTGGGAGGGGGGCTAAAGGCCTCAGCCTAACCAGGTCCTATCCCCCTCCATCCCTCCCTATCCTTCTTGATCCCTCGTCACGCCTTTCTATCCCTCTGCACCACAGGCATGCATGCAGGTGTGTCCCAGCAACCCCAACAACTTCAACGTGGACAATGTGCGAGTGGCCAAGATACTGGGCGGGGGGCTGCATGACTCCAAGGTGGTGCGAGGCATGGTGCTCAAAACGGACACCACGGGGACCATCAAGCACACCACCAAGGCCAAGGTGGGTGCTGTGCGGTTCTGAGATGCGAAATGGATACAGGGGGGCGGCTATGCATGATTCCAAGGTGTCTGCATGGATGGGTAGAGCCATACGCATTGACATGTGTGCGGGTTGTGAGCAGGCTCCCGTGTTACGAGTATGCGTGCATGCGGTTGCTAGCGTTCTGAGTGCAATTTTAAGAGTAGCTGCTGGAGTCTTTGTTTACCATGCATGCTCCGCGTTTGTCTCCTTGAATGTGTGCATGCGTGTGTGTTTCTTTGTGTGTGCATGCGTGTGTGTTTCTTTGTGTGTGCATGCACGTGTGTGTTTCTTTGTGTGTGCATGCGTGTGTGTTTCTTTGTGTGTGCATGCGTGTGTGTTTCTTTGTGTGTGTGTGTGCGTGTGCTTGCACGTGTGTGTCTCGGTGTTCATTGTTGCACATGTGGTGTGGAGAGCAGATCGCGGTGTTTGGAACGGGAATCGACACACAAGCCACGGAGACCAAGGGCACGGTGCTCATTGAGAATGCCGAGCAGGTGCGGTGGGATGGAGAGACAGGAGGGTGAGAGAGAAGAGAAAGTGAGGAGGGCAGCAAGTGATTTGGGAGAGGGATAGAGCAAGGGAGAAGGAAGGCGTGGGGAAAAGGGAGGGTGAGGGCGTGTAATGAGGGAGGGCCCGATTGGACGGCGAGCGGAAGGCGCATTGCTCATGCATCGCTCTCATGTTTCAGCCTGCCTTTCTCGTCGGGCCGACAGCAACGCACCGCCACCACCATGCATCGCTCGCTCCCTTCTCTTTGGGAGGGGAAGTCACCTAACCAACCATGTGAATGGTATTTGTGACTTGTACTGGCCAGGGTGTTGGCACAGAGGATGGGTCAGTTCACGGGGTTTAGTAGGCACATGTGCTTGCAAGTCCCATTTCCTTCAGTACCTACTTCTTTTCCCTTCCCAGCGCCCTTCCCTTTGCGCTTCGTCTCCCCCGCTCCCTCCCCCTTCCCGTTCCTCTTCCCCTCCCGCTCCCCCTTCCCATTCCGCTTCCCCTTCCCCTCCCCCTTCCCCTCCCGCTTCCCCTCCCGCTTCCCCTCCCCCTTCCCCTTCCCCTTCCCTTTCCCCGATCTCCTTTTCCTGTGTGGCGCATGGATAATTTTGCTTAGTCAGAGGAGGCGGGGGTGGAGCAGGCGATAAGGGAGGTGGCGGAGTCAGCTCCATGCCTCTCGTTCCCACACTCCCCTTCTCCCCCCCTTCTTTTCTGCATCAAGTTATTGTCCCCCTACTCCTTCTCCTTTGCATCAGTTGGAGAACTACGCCAAGTCAGAGGAGGCGAGGGTGGAGCAGGCGATCAGGGAGGTGGCAGGTTCACCTGAAAATCGCTGAATTCCCTCCTTTCTCTTTCCCACTGTCTCTCTCTTCGCACTCAATGCCCATTTTCCCCTTCACCCATCAGCTGGAGAACTACGCCAAGTCGGAGGAAGCGAGGGTGGAGCAGGCGATAAGGGAGGTGGCGGAGTCAGGGGCGACGGTGGTGGTGAGCGGGCAGACCGTGGGCGAAATGGCTCTGCACTTCTGCGAGCGATACAAGTGAGTGAGGGAGGGAGTGAGGGAGTGAGGGAGGGGGAGAGGGGGGGGGGAAAGAGGGAGAGAGGGGATGATGGATGAAAGTTCTGGGTGTTTTTGTATTGCATTTATGTGCCTACTTTGTGATGCTTCAATGTGAACCTCTCCGTGTACACCCTCCGCGCGCGTGCCTCTCATCCTCTTCTTGAACCCAACATGGTGTCAACATGGTGTCTGTGTGTGTGTGCATCCCCACCCCCCCCCCCACCATCCAGGCTCATGGTGCTCAAGATCTCCTCCAAGTTTGAGCTCCGGCGGTTCTGCCGCACCACTGGCGCCGTCTCCCTGGTGAGTAACCCGGTAACCAGTCAGGTCGTTTCATTGGCATGTCAGCCATGTCTCACCTTGTTAGCATCGCCGAAAGCTGTCCATTGCGGTAGTCTGGTTTTGTGGGTTTGTTACCAGACGGATACTCTGTGCAGGTGACTGAAACACCATGTCAGATTCGTGTATTGTCTTTCTGTTGAGTTGTGAGAATAGTTTCACTCTGGAGTTGAAACCAAATGTTCTGCTCAACTTTCCTCCATTTCGTTCGTACTTTCCTGTATGCTAACAACTCATTTCTCGTCCTCCTGACTAACCCGCTTCGTATTTTGTGGTGCGGTTTTTCTGTTGTTTTCATCTCTCCCTTTTCCTTCCTTCCCCTCATACCCCTCTGTCTCTCCCCCATGCCCCTCTCTCTCTCACAGGTGAAGCTACAGAAGCCAACAGCAGACGAGCTGGGCTTTGCGGACTCTGTTTCGGTGCAGGAGATAGGCGGCAGCACGGTGAGTCATGCTCTGCTTCTGCTACCACTGCTGGTCGTTTGTATCTGGCGTTCTGAAGACTAACGCATGCACTGAGGAGGGGGGAGAGGGGGGGAAAGGAGGTTGGGGGAGAGGGGGGGAGAGGGGGTTGGGGGAAGAGGTGATGGTGATGGGTGGCTTCTGCTGCTGCTGGTGTATTGGCTTTTTTTTGTTCCGCAGTTATTTTCTTCCCTCAACCCTCCACTTCCCTGCAACCCCACCACTTCTTCCCCCCCACACGCCCCACCTTCCGCAACCCCCGCACCTGCCACCCCCCACTTTTTCAACTCAGTGCTGGTGTTGGAAACCCGGTCCCTCCCTTCCCCGCCCTCCCTCCCCCCTCACCCCCCCCCCCCTCGCTCACTTTCTCAACGCCAGGTGGTTGTGATTGAGAACGAGTCAGGAGGCAACCTGGTGGCGACGGTGGTGGTGCGGGGCAGTAATAGTGGAGGTTCATACAGGTCCCCCTCACACCCCCTCCCCCCTCTCCCCCCCTCCCCCCAAATGGCGCAGGTGGTGGTGGTGGAGAACGAGTCAGGAGGCAACCTGGTGGCGACGGTGGTGCTGCGGGGCAGCACGGACAGCATTCTGGACGATGTGGAGCGGGCTGTGGATGATGGCATCAACACGTACAAGGTGTGATGGAGGGGACAACACGGCATGGCATGGTGTGATATGGGGCATGGCATGGGGCATACCGTGGGGCATGGCAATGGCAGCACGGACAGCATTCTGGACGATGTGGAGCGGGCCGTGGATGATGGCATCAACACGTACAAGGTGCGATGGAGGGGACAACACAGCATGGCATGGTGTGATATGGGGCATGGCATGGGGCATACCGTGGGGCATGGCAATGGCAGCACGGACAGCATTTTGGACGATGTGGAGCGGGCAGTGGATGATGGTATCAACACGTACAAGGTGAGACGCATGGAGGTCTGCTTGTGAGGCACGGCATGGTGTATGGGGCATGCGGCATGGGGCGTGGGGAGTGAGGCGTGGCATGCGGCATGACAGGGGCAGCACGGAGGACAGCATTCTGGATGATGTGGAGCAAGCAGTGTATGATGGGATCAACACGTACAACGTGAGACGCATAGGGATCTGGTATTTGAGGTGCGGTATGGGGCATGGCATGGCATGGGGCATGGCATGGCATGGGTCATGGCGTGCATGGCTTATGGCATGGCATGGGGCATGGCAATGGAAGGACGGACAAAATTTTGGATGATGTGGAGAGAGCGGTGGGTGATGGCATCAACATTGCACTCCACTTCACCGCACTGCACTGCACTGCACTGCACTCTACTGGTCCACACCTCACTGCGCTGCATCTTTTGTACCCATTGTCCTATCCACCAGGCACTGTGTCGCGACAGCCGAGTGCTGCCTGGGGGAGGGGCGACTGAGATTGAGTTGGCCCGACGCCTCAAGCAGTTTGCACGGACGCAAGTGGGGTGAGTGGGGGGGTGAGAGAGTTACGGAGTCTGTGGTGGAGTGAATGGAAGAAGTGGGGGAGCTGGGGGGGTGGCGGGGGGCGGGAACGAGAAGGGTACATGGTGAGCGTGCTCTTGGGAATACAGTGTGAAAATTGTGAAGTGAATCATTTCGTTGATTAGGGAAGAAGGGAGAATACATAGGATGCAAGAGGAGCTTGGAAGGGAAGGGAGTAAGTTGGGTGGTTGGGCAGTCCCTATGGCAACTTGCAAGGAGGGGGCACCCAACTTGCAACAAGGACCATATGGGTTGCAAGGAGGGGGCACCCAACTTGTGGGTTGCAAAGAGGGGGTACCCAACTTGCACTTGGGGGCTCCAACACTTGTGGGTTGGATTGGCACCCCAACTTGCAAGTCTACACCACAAAGTTTGGTGTAGACCTACAAAGCAAGCTACACCCAAAGTTGGGTGTAGCACCATCCCCTTTTATACTTAGCATGCTATACATACATTTCTAACACAACCCCTTAGCATGCTAAGACAAGAAGGAGACAACCCCTGAATCAAGGGGCGCCCGGTGGAGCAAGGCCGATGAGGCGGAGGAGAGCAGAGTGCGCAGGGCGAAGGAGGGTCTTGGTGAAGAGGTCGGCCAAGTTGGCCTCGGCAGCAATCTTGGGTACTGCAAGAAGGCCACGCTGGACGAGCTCGCGGATGAAGAAATAGCGCAGCTCGATGTGCTTGGAGCGGGCGTGGTAGACGGGGTCCTGAGTGAGATGGATGGTGCTGGCGTTGTCACACCAGAGGGTGGGGCAGGGCTGAGGGGCGCCAAGCTCAGCAAGAAGAAAGCAGAGCCAGCGGGATTCCTGAGCGGCCATGGTGCCAGCGTAGAGCTCGGCCTCGCAGGTGGAGAGAGAGACGGAGGAGGAGCGCGTGGAGCGCCAGCTGACAAGGCCGCTGCCGAGGGTGAAGCCGTAGCCCTGAGAGGAGCGGCGGTCCGGCTGCGAGTCAGCCCAGGAGGAGTCGCTGAAGCCCGAAAGCAGGGGAGGGGAGGGGCCACCAAGAGTGAGGGCGTGGTCCTTGGTGCCGCGAAGGTAGCGGAGGACCCTCTTGGCAGCTTTCCAGTGCACCTCCGTGTGGCGACCAGTGCCAACAAAGCGAGCGAGCACGCTGATGGGGTAGGCGAGGTCGGGGTGGGTGCACATCATTGCGTACATCAGCGACCCAACGAGCTCAGCATAAGGGCGAGAGGAGGAGGAGGGAGAGGTGGGTGGGGCAAGTTGGTGGCCAAAAGGGAGGAGGGTGGCCGTGGGACTGGCCTGTGCCATCTCGAACTTCTCCAAGACCTGGCCGATGTAATGGGACTGGGAGAGGGTGATGGTGCGAGCAGGGCGGTTGCGCGTGATGGTCATGCCCAGGTAGTGCGTAAGGTCGCCGAGGTCCTTGCATTTGAGACGCTGCTGCAGGGACAGCTTCATCTGCTCCATGTCAGCCTTGGAGTCTGAAAGCAGGATCATGTCGTCCACGTACACCAAAATGAAAAAGCGGCGAGGGGAGGAGCGAATGAAGAGGCTGGCGTCAGAGTGCGAAGCAGAGAAGCCGAGGGACCCCAAGGTGGCAGACAGCTTCGCATGCCACTCCCTTGGCGCCTGCTTCAAACCATAGACAGGGCGACGCAGCTGCCACACAGTGTTTTCAGGAAAGGCTGCGTGGAACCTAGGGGGCCGCCGGAGAAAAATGCGCTCGTGCAGGTCACCCTGCAGGAACGCGTTGGAGACGTCCATGGAGCAGATCTCCATGTTGTCGCGCGCACCAATGTCGAGGACGGTGCGAAGGGTGGGCGGCTTGGCGGTGGGGGCGAAGGTAAACCAGTAATCCTCAGCCCAAGTCTGCGTGAAACCCTTGGCGCAGTAGCGTGCCTTGTAGACCGGCTCCTCACCCGGAAGCTGCTTCACCCGAAAGATCCACTTGCCCTCAACGAGGTTGGCGTCGGCTGGGAGGGGGACATCGATGAAGGAGTCGTTGCGAATGAATGCCTCGCACTCCAGAAAGATCGCCGCGATCCATTTGTCCGCGTCAGGGCAGGTGATGGCCTCTTGGAAGGTGGTGGGAGTGAAGATGGTGGGGGTGGAGGTGGCGCCAAGGACGGGAAAGCCGAGGAAGTCAAGGTAGAGGGAGGCAAGGAAAGGTGTGTGTTGCCGAATGTTGAGGAACTCCTCATAGGAGTCCTCGAGGAGTTGAATGGAGGCGGGGGGAGGGGCACCAAGGATTTTGTCCACGGAGCGCGTATGCATGCGAGGGAGGAGGAAAGGGGAGGAGCGGGAAGTTGCACGTCGCTGCTGCTGCTGCTGGTGCTGCTGTAATTGCTGCCCTTGCTGCTGCTGCAGTCCCTGCTGCGGCTGCTGCTGTTGCTGCTGCCCCGGCCGATGCTGATGCTGCTGCCCCGGCTGCTGCTGCGGCTGCTGCACCTGCTGCTGCTGACCCGGCTGCTGCTGATGCTGCTGCCCCTGCTGCTGCTGCCCCTGCTGCTGCCCCTGCTGCCCCTGCTGCTGCTGCTGCTGCTGCTGCTGCTGCTGCTGACCCGGCTGCTGCTGCTGCTGGTTCTGACCCGGCCGTTGCTGCTGCTGCTGCCCCGGCCGCTGCGGATGCTGCTGCCCCTGCTGCTGCTGGTGCTGCTGATCCGGCTGCTGTTGCAGCTGCTGCGGAAAAGGGGGAGAATGAGAGGAGGAGGGAGAGGAGGGAGCGGGTGCAGCTGAGTGGGCCGGGGAGGCCGGTGCGGCAGGGTCATAGACGTCGGCAGAGGAGGAAGGCGGGAGCGGAGCGGCGACAGGCGGGAGGAGAGGCGCTGGAGAGAGAAGAGGCGGGAGGACGGTGTCGGTCCAAGCGAGGGGGCGAGTGGGAGGAGGGAGAGGGTCAGGAGGAGGAGTGGAGTAGTAGGGAATGGACTCGTCGAAGACGACGTCAATGCTGCGGATGAGGCGATTGGTGGGAGGGTGGAGGAACAGGTAGCCTGGGGAATCGCGATTGTGCCCGAGGTAGACGCACTCCAGGGCACGAGGGGCGAGCTTTCCAGCCGCGCGGGAGCGATCGGCCGGTGGAATGAGGACGAACGCCTTGCACCCCCAAACACGAAGGCCGGCAGCGTCGGGCTTGGCCTGGGACCAGAGTTCTGTGGGGGAGGAGGAGGGATGCTGAGGGTGGGAGCGGAGATTGAGGAGGAGGGCGGCATGCAGGAGGGCATAGCTCCAGAGGGAGGGAGGGGTGGAGGCGTGAGCAAGAAGGCAGCGAGCAATCTTGGTGATCTCACGGATGCGACTCTCAGCGATGCCGTTTTGCTGAGGGGAGTGGGGGAGGGTGGAGGTCTGCTGAATGCCGTATGTGTTGCAGTAAGTGGAAAGGGTATGATTGATGAACTCACCCCCACCGTCAGAGTGAAGGCGGCCGATGGGGCGTTTGAAGTGAGTGCGACACTGCTCAGCCCAGTTGATGACCACAGCCGGCACGTGGTCTTTCGTGTGAAGAAAGAAGACGGTGGAGTAACGACTGTGGTCGTCGACGAGCACGAGCATGTACCGATGCCCCTGACGGGAGCGGATAGGATAAGGGCCCTAGAGATCCATGTGAACAAGGTCAATGGGGGCGGCAGCGAATGTGGGATGACTGTGATGGGGGGACTGTTTGAGCTTGCCATGAATGCAGGATGGGCATGGAGGAGCAGGGGAGGAGGGGAGGGGAGGTAATGTGGGAGGAAGGCTGTTAAGGAGGCGAGAGGTAACGGAGGAGCGAAGTGCAGCGAAGTTGGGATGGCCGAGTCTGTGATGCAAGAGCACTGCAGGGTGGGAGAGGGTAGTAGAGGAGGAGGGGGAAGGGGTGGGGGAAGAGGTGGGGGGGGAGGAGGAGGGGGATGGGGTAGAGGAGGAGGATACAGGGGGGGGGGGGGGAGGGGGAGGGGGAGGGAGAGGGGGAAGGGGACCGGTGGAAGTACCGGCACGGGTGGTGACGTGACAGAACGAGGGACGGGGTGTGCAGAGCGTATAAAGTCGAGTGCGAGGGCAAAGGGGAATGCGCAGGAGGAAGCGACCAGAGGCGGTGTGGTAGAGATCACAGTAGGAAGCAAATCCAGGGTAAATGGCGGTAATACCAACGCCTTGGAGCTCACGGTGGGAGAGGAGGTTATTGCGAAGGGTGGGGATGTGGAGACCTGTGACTGTACCAGACGGGAAAGCGGTGCAAGGAAGGGTGGAGAGGTGAGTGCAGGGGATGGAAAAACTGGAGTCGGCACCATGAACCTGGGTGGGAAGTGGAAGGGGGGTGAGGGTGCCAGCGTCTTTCAATGCAGTTTCGGTGGCTCCACTGTCAAGGACGAAGTCCAGGGTGCGGGAGGAAGGAGAAGGGGGTGACGCAGAGTACTGGAGATACGTCTCATGGAGAGAAGGGGGATACAACGGCAGATGCTGCTGCTGGAAGCACTGCTGTCGCTGCGGCTGCTGCTGGAGAAACTGTGGCTGCCGCGGCTGTTGGAAGGACTGTTGCTACTGTGGCTGCTGCGGTTGGAGAAACTGTGGCCGCTGCTGTTGCTGGAGGCACTGCTGCCGCTGCGGCTGCTGCTGGGGAAATTGTGGTTGCTGCTGCTGCTGGAAGCACCACTGCAGCTGTGGCTGCTGCTGCTGCTGGTAGCATTGCTGCCGCTGTGGTTGCTGCGACTGGAGAATCAATGGCGGCTGTGGCCGGAGAAACTGTGGCTGCTGCTGTTGAAGCTGCCGAAAACGCTGCAGCTGGGGAGGGGGGGAAGGGGTGAGTAGGCGGAGGTGAGCAGGGAGGAAGGAGGGGAGGGTCGAAATGTGCATGAGGGAGGGGCGAGGGGTAACACCAGTCCAGCGAGGAGGGGGGGGAGGGGCAGAGGGGGTAGCAGCCATGATGGGCGACGGCGGGTGGACCTGCGGCGGCCAAGGGGGGGGGGGGGGGTTGCTGCTGCTACTGCTGCTGCACTCCTCCTCCTGCTGCTGCTACTGATGCTGCTGCTGCCGCTGCACTCCTTCTGCCGCTGCCGCTGCTGCCGCTGCGCACCTCACGCTGCTGCTGCTGCTGCTGAGGAGGGGGGGGGGAGAGGGAGAGGAGGAGGGAGAGGGGGAAGGGAGGGTGCAGCTGCTGCTGCCGCTGCTGCCGCTGCTGCTGCTGGGGGGGGGGGGGAGAGGGAGAGGAGGAGGGGGAGGGGGAAGGGAGGGTGCAGCTGCTGCTGCCGGGGGGTGGGGGAGAGGGAGAGGAGGAGGGAGAGGGGGAAGGGAGGATGCAGCTGCTGCTGCTGCTGCTGCTGCGGCTGGTGCTGCCGCTGCTGCCGCTGCTGCTGCTGCTGGTTCGGCTGCTGCTGCTGCTGAGGGGGGGGGGGGAGAGGGAGAGGAGGAGGGAGAGGGGGAAGGGGGGGGAGGGGGAGGAGGGCTGAATGGCCCGTAGGAGGAGGACGCGAGGGGGGAAGGGGGAGGAGGGCTGGATGGCCCGTAGGAGGAGGAAGCGAGGGGGAAGGGGGAGGAAAGGGGGGGAGGGGGGGGCGGCAGAAGCGTGGGGAAGATGCGAAACGCCCGTGGGAGCAGAACGGACGGGCGAATTTCCCGCGGGAGCAGAACGGACGGGCGAAATGCCCGCGGGAGCAGAACTGACGGGCGAAATGCCCGCGGGAGCAGAAGTGACGGGCGAAATGCCCGTGGGAGCAGAATTGACGGGCGAAATGCCCGCGGGAGCAGAACTGACGGGCGAAATGCCCGCAGGAGCAGAACTGACGGGCGAAATGCCCGCGGGAGCAGAACTGACGGGCGAAATGCCCGCGGGAGCAGAACTGACGGGCGAAATGCCCGCGGGAGCAGAACTGACGGGCGAAATGCCCGCGGGAGCAGAACTGACGGGCGAAATGCCCGCGGGAGCAGAACTGACGGGCGAAATGCCCGCGGGAGCAGAACTGACGGGCGAAATGCCCGCGGGAGCAGAAGTGACGGGCGAAATGCCCGCGGGAGCAGAAGTGACGGGCGAAATGCCCGCGGGAGCAGAAGTGACGAGCGAAATGCCCGCGGGAGCAGAACTGACGGGCGAAATGCCCGCGGGAGCAGAAGTGACGGGCGAAATGCCCGCGGGAGCAGAAGTGACGGGCGAAATGCCCGCGGGAGCAGAACTGACGGGCGAAATGCCCGCGGGAGCAGAACTCACGGGCGAAATGCCCGCGGGAGCAGAACTGATGGGCGAAATGCCCGCGGGAGCAGAACTGACGGGCGAAATGCCCGCGGCAGCAGAACTGACGGGCAAAATGCCGGCGGGAGCAGAACTGACGGGCGAAATGCCCGCGGGAGCAGAACCGACGGGCGAAGTGCCTGTGGGAGCAGAACTGACGGGCGAAATGCCCGCGGGAGCAGAAGTGACGGGCGAAATGCCCGCGGGAGAAGAAATGGCGGGCGATTGGGGGCGACGGCGGCGGTCTAGGCCACGGCGTCTAAGTGGGAAAGGGTGGGCCCATGAAAGAAAAAAAAACTGGAGGGAGGGGAGAGGTAAGGCCTAGGAAAAATTAGCTCTATACCATGTGAAAATTGTGAAGTGAATCATTTCGTTGATTAGGGAAGAAGGGAGAATACATAGGATGCAAGAGGAGCTTGGAAGGGAAGGGAGTAAGTTGGGTGGTTGGGCAGTCCCTATGGCAACTTGCAAGGAGGGGGCACCCAACTTGCAACAAGGACCATATGGGTTGCAAGGAGGGGGCACCCAACTTGTGGGTTGCAAAGAGGGGGTACCCAACTTGCACTTGGGGGCTCCAACACTTGTGGGTTGGATTGGCACCCCAACTTGCAAGTCTACACCACAAAGTTTGGTGTAGACCTACAAAGCAAGCTACACCCAAAGTTGGGTGTAGCACCATCCCCTTTTATACTTAGCATGCTATACATACATTTCTAACATACAGCGAGTGATTGAGGGGCATGGGCATGTACGAATCGAAGTTGTGTTTCAGACCCTCCTGGTTCCGACCCTCCTGGTTCCGACCCTCCTGGTTCCGGCCCTCCTGGTTCCGACCCTCCTGGTTCTGAACCTGCTGGTTCCGAACCTGCTGGTATGGAGTCTGGTATTGCAGTGTGAGAGGCTGGACATCACTGAGATGCTCTCTGCCCTCATCCCTCACTGCAGCTCAATTCCCTCCTCCACCTTTTCTTAACCCGTATGCTGTCTTACAAGTATAACGATGCACTGAGCGTGTTTCTTTCTCTTTCCATTCCCCCCTCCCCCTCCAGTCCCCCTTCCCCCTTCCACTCCCCTCCGCTACCCCCTTCCCCTCCCCCTCCCCCTCCCCCTCCCCCCTCCCCCTCCCCCTCCCCCCTCCCCCTCCCCCTCCCCCTCCCCCTCCCCCTCCCGCTCCCGCTCCCGCTCCCGCTCCCGCTCCCGCTCCCGCTCCCGCTCCCGCTCCCCTTCCCGCTCCCGCTCCCCCTCCCCCTCGCCCTCCCCCTTCTCTCCCCTTCCCTCCCATTTCCTCCCTCTCTTCCCCTCCCTTTCCCGCTTCCCCTTCCCCCTCCCCTTTCCACATTCCTCCTCTTCTCCACCCCCATCAGTCTGGACCAGTATGCGATTGACAAGTACAGCGAAGCTTTAGAGGTCATTCCGCACACGCTAGCAGAGAATGCCGGCATGGACGTCACTGAGATCCTCTCCCTCTCTCCCCTCTCCCCTCCTCGTCCAATCTCCCCTACTTTCAGTCTGGACCAGTATGCGATAGACAAGTACAGCGAGGCCCTAGAAGTGATTCCGCGCACGCTGGCGGAGAATGCCGGCATGGACGTCACTGAGATCCTCTCTGCGCTCTATGCCGCCCACTCCGGTGGGCCGGACGGCACGGGCGGCAATTTCCGTGTGGGAGTGGATGTCACGGGTGCGGGTGTGAGGGACCTCACAACTGACAACATCTGGGACCTGTTTGCCACAAAGTGAGTGTGCCACACATCCCACCACAGACAGGATCAAGTGTCTTTCTGCTACCACGTAGGCCTCTTATGCCCCACTCCCCCTTCCCTCATTTTCCCGGTCTCCCTCATTCTGGCATGCACTGCCCGTGCTGCATCATCTCACCTTCCGCGGCTCTCTGTTGTCATGCTGCTGTTGTGTGTGATGTGAAGCCATTTGTTTAGCTTGCCATGACTCAATGACTCGGCTTGCTTTCCCCGCTATGCACCCTCTATTTCCCCAGGTATTGGGCCATTCGATTTGCTGCAGACGCAGTGACTACTGTGCTTCGAGTGGACCAGGTGTGTGCAAACCTACTCGATGCTTTTCAGTGGCACATGACTGCTTCATTTACAGTTTCACTTGATGGAACGAAGCCTGCATACATTGCTTCCAAAGACTCCAGTGTTTCTTTTCTCCTTAATTAATGCCCTGCTCCACAGTTTCTGAGCTTCATTGTGTTTCTTCGGTCTTACCCCCTCTGCATCACCACTGTGTCTCCATTCTTTTCAAACTTGCCATAATATTCGGCACTCCTCTTATACCGTACCTGCCTTTGCCGTGTGGTGTATCCATGTGTTGCAGATCATCATGGCCAAGGTTGCTGGTGGCCCTCGTCGAGGCGACAGGCCAATGGATGAGGGAGAAGATTAGTGCAGGGCTGTGGTTTTGATGCATCTTGTTTTTGAAGAGATAAGTACGTTATCTCTTGCACATGGTCACGCACATACGGTACACATCAAAAGACGAGGAAACAAAAGAACACATGCCAATGACTGTTCAATAAGGAATAACAAACTAAACAGAAGCTTTTAAATCAGGTCAGGTGGTGACAACAACATTTGGCAGGCCATCAATTATGTCCCCATCATAGCATGTTGATGAACTACAGCTAGGTCTAGAATTTGGTCAGTCAGATGCTACTGCTAAACCAAACAAGACATTGCCACTCACAGTGATAAAGCATCTAGCCAACCAACAAAGCTCACCTCTGGAGAACAACTAACCGTACAATTTAGCTGGTCTGCAACTGCAAACTAAAAACCGTGTGCCAGCCGGGAATCGAACCCGGGTCTGCACCGGGCACATGGCAGGGTGCTATTCTACCACTAGACCACTGGCACTAGAGAGATGGTGAATGCGTTTTCAAGGGTGTTAAGGACATAAACATTGTGTATACTTTCTTCCAAACTATGTCACTACCAACGGAACATGAGAGGCTCCTACTCCGCATTTATGCTGCTCATAAAGGCTCTCTACGGCAGCTATAAACTCCGCGTGCATCTTCTCTACTGCAGCGTCAACGGTCTCAGCTTCGGGTACAGGAATCGGTTTCCCAACCACAAGGGTCATAGGCTTTTGATGTGGGATAGGCGTTCCCCACCTACCCCAGAACAGCATTGGAGCAAACATCAACTTACGAGACAGAGCAGTGTGGAAGGAGCTGCGAGGGAACCAGTAGCTGTACACGTCCTTCTGACCGAAGGAGAAGATGGGGATGATAGGAGCATTAGTCTCCACTGCCAGCCGCACAAAGCCCAATCGTCGCTTCAGAAACAGTACCTGCAGTACGCACGACACCCAGGTCAGAACAATGCAAGGCCGTAAGCACGCTAGCATAGATAATGATCATGCACACCTCTCGAGACGGTTCAAGCAACAACGATTCTTGCAAGCCACCCGGGACAATGACGCAAGACGTTCCCGAAGCCAGTAGATTCGAAAACTGCTTCCGCGTGGCTGGTGCCATACTAAGCCACCGCCAGATATGGCGAACGAAAGGAACGTAGGTCAAGGCGCTGCTCCCAAGGATCCGAATCTTTTGCAACGGGAACAGCCCAGACAAGGGAGACAGGGCAACTGCGGAGATTGGAAATACGTGGTGGGGTTCCAAAGCAACAATATACGCCTTGCTAGGGTCCAGTGCTTGGCGGTCCTCGTATATCATCTGAGAAATACAAAAACGCTGGTTAGCATGCGTATGGAGTAACCATAAAGAAGTAAATAGGCAGATCGTTGTTGACAAAGCTCACATTAATCGGAAAGTATGTCGAGGCAGTTCTGGCGATAAAGGATGCAACCTTTATCCCGAATTCAGACTCGGACACAGGAATAATCACCAGCGTCACCAATACGACAAGGACTGCCACCGACGTTTTGCTAGGGAGGTGATAGATGGCAATAGCTGCAGCTATGGTGTTGAAATGGAAGAGTCCGAGCCAGATGAAAAGCGCAACCATGACCTCCATCTGCAACACCCACAAGCTGATAAGCTCCATGTGTCCCAAAAAAAACCGAGCTACTAGCTGAAGCAATTAGTAAGACGCTCAGACCTGTCGATAAGCTTTCCGGTTTATATGCCGCGATGAGACAGTGCTGTCACAAGCTTGTGCCATCTTCGAGCAATCCACGGTGGGAAAAACAAATTCGCCTATACCAATCCAACTAATTCCCTGGAGAACCTCCTTAGGAGGCGTTGAAGTGGAAGGCCTCCTTCGGAGGTGTTAGGCCGTTTCGACAAACTAAACTAAACGAACCACAACTCGGAGATGGCAAGATAGCAGAAGGCCGTTCAAGAACCTAAATACTGCTAACACCTGAGCAGTTTCGCGTCACACGCGAAGTTGGAGCGTTGGAACACTCAGAATAAGTGAACAAGTGACTTGAGTGACGGCTAAAGCGGGAACATAAATCGAATAAATAAAAAAGGTGCTACTCACTATTTGTGTGAACTGACTTGTGCTTCAAGCATCTCTGCATGCAAGCAGACTCCGACATCGTCGAACGAATGCTTGATGGCAATGTTGACGTGCTTCTACCCATGCATCGAAAATTCCGTTGCGGTCGTTGTTTCTGGTTGCCTTCGAGAGCGAAATTCGTGGCTGTGGTCGTTCTCGCGATATGGTGAACGGAACTTCTTGACGGGCTAGCTTCAACCAATCGCAGTTTCCCAATTAGTGCTGACGTGCGAAAAGGAGTTCCAGAAAGTTGGGAAGGTGGGACAAATCAAGGAGATTCCTGATACGGAAGAGCCTGTGGCACAGAGCATCTACGTGTTACAGAGTGGCTGTGGGGCTGCACTGACGTGGAGAGGGCCGCATTTTCTATCAATGCGTCATAATCGAAGTGAAAATACGTGGGTGGGACAGGAATAAACACGCAATAGTTGACCTCCAAACTACACCTACCGAGATCCGGTAACCTTCACTTGTCAGCTCAAGTGAGGCAAGACAACATTATGAAATACTAAAGCACAATTTCATACTAAGCCTGCTACTCTTTCTTCTTCATCCCAGGCAGACGGCGTGAGGGTGTCCGCATGGTGACAAACTCCTCTGCAGCTGTTGGGTGTATCCCCACCTGCAAACACAAGAAGTTGCATGATAAAATCGAAGTGTAGAAAAAAAAAAATACAAAACGCTTCCATTTCCCCCAGCCTTGCCTCAAACTCTTCACCGCTCAACTTACTGTGGAATCAACCTGCTTCTTGGTGACGTTGCACTTCATTGCAATGCCAAGTCCCTGCAGGAAAGCCAAGGAGAGTGGGAAACAGAAGTTGACAGCAATAACGAGTCAGTCAACCATGAGGATATGTGGGACCAGCTGAAGACAGACATCAACACACCAACACATGATTACCTCCATAACCAATGATTATGCATCCACATACAGCCTGTTTCACAGCATACCCTGCACTCTGATCCTCAAGTGAACTGGGTGTAACCTGCATCACCCTCACCTACCTGCCTCTCACCTGCATGCCTCTCACCTGCATGCCTCTCACCTGCATACCTCTCACCTGCATACCTCTCACCTGCAAGCTTCCCTCTCACCTGCCTGCCTCTAATCTGCCTGCTTTGCTCTATTCTCCCTGCCCCACGCTCACCTGCATGATCTCAGCGGCATCGGGGCCGCACATGGAGGCACCAAGCACCCGATCTGTGACGTGACTTTTGACTGCCTTGCTCTCACCGGCAAGACTGGGCTGGGTGGACTCGCCTGCATGGCTGGGTGGACGCACCTGCATGATCTCAGCGGCATCAGGGCCGCACATGGAGGCACCGAGCACCCGGTCCGTCTCCGAGTCCACCAACAGCTTCATGTACGTCTTCTCCACTCGCCTGGTGTGGGGAGGAAGATGGGAGGGGCAGAGGAGGAGATATATGAGCAGGTTGGCAAGCTGCACAGGTGCATCGTGCACTCGCTACATGGGTCCACCAGCAGCTTCATGTACGTCTTCTCCACGCGGCTGGTGTGGGGAGGATGCAAGAGCAGAGGAGGGAAAGCATAGACACAGGTGCCCTTGATGCAGGAATTCATTGCTGCAGGAGGACATGAACACGAGCACATCAACAAGCATGGAAAGTCGCACAAGCCCATGGCGAACCATGGCGAGACATATGGGAATGCATGCCCTCTCACCCAGAGATGGAGTTCCTCATGGGGTTGAACGATGATGTGAACACGAGCACATCCAAGTTGCTGCGGACACTCGTGGCACCACATGGCGAGACACACTATATGAACGTGCGCCTGCCTCTCACTGCTCTCACCCCTCTCACCCCCTCTCACCCCCTCTCACGCCTCTCACGCCTCTCACCCTGAGATAGTGTTCTTCATGGGGTTGAAGGAGGACGTGAACACGAGAACATCGCTGCTTGAGTTCTCCACTGCCTGCTTCTCCGTCAGACCCACCACTGCCAGGGGCGGCTGGCTGCATGCGGGGGAAGAAAAGAAGGCATGGAGTGAGGGAAAACAACAAGAAAAATCACAATGAGTGAAGAGATGCTTCCCCTCTCCTCTCCACAGCCTGCTTCCCTCTCATGCCCACTACTGCCAGGGGCGGCTGGCTGCTCAGGAGAACTGGAAAGGGGGATTAGGATGAAGGGAAGCATGCAAAGGGGGGCGGGCGGGAGGAGGCGAGCATAATAGCTGGAGGTAACCGTGCCTCAAGATAAATATGAACTTTTGACGAGAGAGAGAGCACATTGGCGGAATTGACTAACCAAATGAGGGTACAGCCAGTGGGCGCAATGACTGACCCAAAATTACAATAAAACAGCACTCTTAAAACGACAGCAGGGGGGTGCAATGGGGAGAGAGCAAAGGGTTAGACAACTTACCAGAAGACAGCAGAGGCGACATTCTCAAAGTCGGGCGTGTCAGGGTCGTTGCCAAAGACGGTGCGCTGCATGGGAGAGGAGAGTGCATGGGACAGGGGGGAGTGCGCATGGATGGAGAGAAGGGAGACGACGAGCTTACCGAGTGTGTTGGGGAGGCACAGGTGTGTGTTTTTTATTTCCACTGTATGGTTCCCTTTTTGTGTACCCGAGTCCAACGTGCAGGCTACCATGAGAGCCACAGGAGTGAGTCATTGCAGCCGCTGCCAGGCCATCAGACAACATAAGTGCCCTAAATTCAAGTTATGTCGTTAACAATCTGGTACGCAGTACAGAGCAACGCACCTCTATGAGAGCCAGGGGAGTGACGTTAATGTGGTTGGTGACAGGATGAGGCAACACTGTGATGGGACAATCTTCTCTGCTGTTGATGCGTTGGTATCTCACAGCAAAGCAGCGACTCACAGCAAAGCAGTGCCCCTCCATGAGAGCCACGGGAGTGAGGCTGATGCGGTTGGTGAGAGGTGGTGGCAGTAAGATAACTGCGATGGGACAATCTTCTCTCCTCATAAGCGTTGTTATCGAACCGTAAAGCATTGGCTCGGCGCAAAGCAGCGACTCACCGCGAAGCAGTGCCCCTCCATGAGGGCCACAGGCGTGAGGTTGATGCGGTTGGTGAGAGGTGGAAGTCATAGAAAAAGAGTATATTCATGTAATTGAGAGGTTAACACACCGCGAAGCAGTGCCCCTCCATGAGGGCCACAGGCGTGAGGTTGATGCGGTTGGTGAGAGGTGGAAGTCATAGAAAAAGAGTATATTCATGTAATTGAGAGGTTAACACACCGCGAAGCAGTGCCCCTCCATGAGGGCCACAGGCGTGAGGTTGATGCGGTTGGTGAGAGGTGGAAGTCATAGAAAAAGAGTATATTCATGTAATTGAGAGGTTAACACACCGCGAAGCAGTGCCCCTCCATGAGGGCCACAGGCGTGAGGTTGATGCGGTTGGTGACGTCCCCCACGGCCCACACGCTCGGCACGTTTGTCTGCGACCACGCGCTCACCTGGACGGCGTGGGCAGAGAGAGGGGGGAAGGAACAGAGGAGAACATGGGGGAAAAGGGGGGGAAATGAGATGGTTGGTGTCGTCTCCCACGGCCCACACACTGGACATGTTCGTCTGCGACCAACCATGCGCTCACCTGGACGGGATGGGCAGGGTGGCATGGGTGAAGGGGAGAGGAGGGGTGCGAGGGAGGGGAAGAGGCGGAGGGGAAGGAAAAGGTAGAAGGGGAATGAGTAGGTGATACACGCCATGATGGCCCACATGCTTGGGATGACTTGGGACAGCTTGGGACAGCTAGTTCAGTGCAGTACAGTGCTACAGCGCCACAGTAACTTATCAGCACAACGTGAATGCAAGCAACATGAGTCATCGCCGCATTGCACTCTCTCGCTCACCTTAATCGCCCCAGTGCTGTCTGTCTCCACTCTCACTCTTTCCTGTTGTTTTTTTAGACGTCTCAAAGGTCACTAGTGCACTCTCCGCATGACTCAAAACTCGCACACCTTGATCGCCTCAGTGCTGTCTGTCTCCACTCTCACTCTTTCCTGTTGACTTTTAAGACGTCTCAAAGAAATCACTCGTGCACTCTCCGCATTACTCAAAACTCGCCCACCTTGATCGCCCCAATGCTATCCGTCTCCACCCCCGCATTCTCCAGGCCCAGGTTGTGCGTGCTGGGCGCACGACCTGTGATGATACGGGAGGGATTACATGGGGACAGCGGGGGGAGAAAGGATTGGGTAGAAGTGGGAGGGGAAATCGTTGGGAGGAGCTATGGTGCGATTGTCGAGGACGAGGTAGTGCGTGCTGGGCGCACGACCTGTTATGATATGGGGGAGATTACATGGGGACAGCGGGAGCGGGGAAAAGTTGGGGGGAACCATCGAGTGATTGTCGAGGCCAAGATTCTGTGATATGGAAGCAAACGGGAGCAGCAGCACATGCGTGTGAAAAACAAGAGAACATTGAATTGAACGCTGGTTACCAGAGGTGAACACGAGCCGACGAGAGGGAAGTGAGAAAGAGCATCATGGCACAGCACAGCACGGTGTGGAAGACAAGAGGGCATTGTGTGTGCTGCTCAGCAGCGGCAAACACAAGCAGTTGAGTTGAGAGAGCAGAAGCGGCAAGACAAGGTACAGCAGCAGAGTGTGTGCACGTGTGGAAGATGATGGAGGGGTTTGAACGGTGCTCAGTGGCAAACTGTCTCGAAGGGATGCTCACCAGTGGTGAACACGAGTAGCTGAGTCGAGAGGTGAGTGGGCAGACAAGGTACAGTATAGCAGAACAGTGCACGTGTGGAAGACTGTGAACAGCAGAACAGTACAGTGACCTTGGAATGCCGCTCAATGGCAAGCTGTCTCAAAACGATGCTCACCAGTGGCGAACATGACCACATCCGCTTCAAGAGCTTCTCCCTTATCCGTGTGCAGCACATACGTGCCCGATGCTGTCTTCTCGATCTGGACAGAACAAATCACATGACGTGCGAACATGGCATTGCTGCAATCATGAGTTGCACTGCACTTGTAGATTGGATGAGCACGTGCGTTTCGTTCAGTATGAAAGATGGCTGCTGGACACAGGAGAGCGAGCAAGCCAAGCTGGTACGCTCAGGCGATTCATGGGGGAAGGAAGGGAAGCGGTGGTGAGGGGGACGACAGGGGTTGCATATTGCATTGCAAGCATGACAGCGTGGCATGTGACAACAGTGTGCTGCCTCTGATCTCATCTGAGCGCTGCTGCTTGCCTTGGTGGGGTTGGTGGAGGGGTGCAGATTCATGCCTCTGGTGGCCAGGTTCTGCGCCACCACTCCCCTCATCTCCTCATCGAAGCCCCTGCACGTCACGAGGAGTTGTAAATGGGTGATGAGGTGTAACTACGAGGCAACGACGGTGGTGTAACGATGAGGGATTAGGTAGTTGTGTTGGTTCGGCTGCCATTACTACCCGTGGCTTTAAACAAGTGAGGAGGAAAATGAGGAATAATTGATAGGACAGGCACATGAAAAACTGCCACCACTTCCCTCAACACCTCCATTGGCGTGGTGGTCTGCCTACCGCAGGGGGAGGGTGTGTGCCTACCGCAGGGGGAGGGTGTGTGCCTACCGCAGGGGCGTGGGCTGGCGGTACACGAGGTGCACATCGGCGCCCATGCCGTGGAAGATGCCTGCAAACTCCACTGCGATGTAGCTGTGAGGCACAGGGGAAGGGGGAGGGGGGAGAGGGAAGCGAGGGGGGAACGCAGAGCAGAGGGAAGGGGAAACGCAGGGAGCAGTGGGAGAGTCAAACTTGACCGAAATAAACCTGGGAGGGGTAAAGAAGGAGGGGGAGGGGGCAGCGGGGAGGGGGAGAAAGGGGGAAAGCGGGGAGGAGGGAAGGCGAGAACCGGGAGTGAGGAGGGGAGGGGACGGAAGGGAAAGTGGGAAGGGGGTGGGTGGAGGGAGAGGTTTGGAGGGAGGGCAGACATGTATGAGTTGACTCAAAACATTATGCCATGGGTGGGTGCAGAATTCCCGCAATGTCCGCAAACTCCTCCCCCCCTCCTCATTCCCCCTTTCCTTTTTCCCCATCTTCCAGCAATTTTCCCTCCCTCCCCTCCCCCTCCCCCTCTCCCGCCCTCATCCCCCGCCCATCGCCTCTCTCCCCCTCCCAATTCCCCCCCCTGCAACCCACCCTGCGCCCACAATGACCACGCGCTTGGGGAACTCCGCCAGGCTGAGCGCCTCGTCTGACGTTATGGCGTACTCCTGGCGATGGGGGGAAGGGGCGGGGGGGAGGGAGGGGGAGGGATGGGGAGGGAGGGGGGAGGGAGGGGGAGGGAGAGAGGGAAGGGAAAGGGGATAGGGGGAAGGGAAAAAGGCAGAGGGGCAAGGGGAAGGGGAGAGGGGGAAGGGGAAGGGGAAGGGGCGAGGGGAACGGGAGAGGGGGAAGGGGAAGGGGAAGGGGCAAGGGGAAGGGGAGAGGGGGAAGAGAAAGGGGAGAGGGGGAAGAGAAAGAGGCGAAGGAGAAGAGAAAGGGGTGAATTCAGAGCAACAGTAACACCGCAAGGCTGAGAGCCTCGTCTGACGTGATAGTGTAGCGTAGTCTTGCCATGGGGGTATTGGTGGTGGTGTAGAGGAAGTGGGGGGGGGAGGGAGAGGGGGAAAGGGGGAAAGAGAGGGGAGGAGGGACGGGGATGAAGTGGGAGAAGTTGGGGAGAAGAGTTAGAGGGATCTAGGAGATAAGAATCAGCGAATTTAGTGAGGGGTGACAGACTCGTCAACCAGGACTCGATCTGTGCCGTTCGTGTGGACAATAAGGGGAGGCTCTTTGATTTAAAGAGCAGAGAACATGACAGCCTGCCATGAAACCGGACATGCCACGGGAGCAAGCCATGAGGATTTTTCACAGCGCACCTTGCCAGGAATGTCAATCAGGTGGGGCCGCCCCCCCCACGGCAATGAGGATGTGCTTGGCGGTCATCTGCTTCACCGTCCCATCAGGTGCCGTCACCTCACCTCCACTGCGTGCCACCATCTCATGCCATGCCATGCCATGCCCATGCCACACAATCCTTTTTAAACCGCACCTTGCCAGGGATGTCGATCAAATGTGGCCGCCCCCCAACAGCAATGAGGATGTGCTTGGCGGTCATCTGCTTCACCGTCCCATCAGGCGCCGTCACCTCCACCGCGTGGGGCCCTGCCAGCTTGCCGCGCCCCTCCACCAGCGTCACATTAGCATTGCTCAGAATGCGCTTGTACACGCCGTTGAGGCGCTCAATCTCGCGGGTCTGGAGGGAGAGAGACACAACAGAGAAGGGAGGCACGGACGATAGTATGAGTAAGGAGGCAAGAACCAACGCGCCCCTCCACCAGCATCACGCACACCAGCGTTGCTGAGAATGCGCTTGTACACGCCGTTGAGGCGCTCAATCTCGCGGGTCTGGGGGGGAAGAAGCACAGCAGAGAAGGGAGGCACAGAAGAGAAGGGAGGCACAGCAGAGAAGGGAGGCACAGAAGAGAAGGGAGGCACAGAAGAGAAGGGAGGCACAGAAGAGAAGGGAGGCACAGCAGAGAAGGGAGGCACAGAAGAGAGAATGCAAAAGGAAGCATGAACCAACACGCCCCTCCACCAGCGTCACTCCAGCGTTGCTCAGAATGCGCTTGTACACCCCGTTGAGCCGCTCAATCTCGCGCGTCTGCAGGGAAGGGAGAAACGAAGAGCAGTAGGACAGAGGATGCATGGGCCATCAGGTGCCGTCACCTCCACTGCATGCGGCCCCGCCCCTCCACCAGCGTCACTCCAACGTTGCTGAGAATGCGCTTGTACACCCCGTTGAGCCGCTCAATCTCGCGGGTCTGCAGGGAAACAGAGAAGCACAACAAACAGGGAAAGAGAGAAAAAGAGAGTGAAACCTCGACCGTCTATTTTCAAATCTGGACCAGGTATTTCAAATCTTGAACGAGTATCATCACAGACAGAGGAATGACGAACAGGTATCTTCGAACCCTCTGCATCACCCATGACGCGCAAATACACCCATTGCTTCGAGCCCGACCGAATCGCCTTGCCCTTGCACCAGCGTTTACAATACAAGTGAATGTACACTGTACAGTACGCCTCGGTACACTACAATGCGAAGGCGTGCTGCACAACGCACTGCAAATAAGGCTGAAGGCGCCTGACCTTGTTGCCAATGAGGTGCTTCCAGTTGAAGGTGGGCGTGCCTGGGATGCTCCACCCGAAGCCAGCTGCGTCCTGTGTCGAGACAACAACGGGGAAGCAGAAATCACGGGGTGCAATCCGGAGACGAATTTAAAAAGAGGGGAGAAAAACAAGGAGAAGAGACAAAGAGAATTGCAATGAGGGACAAAGAAACGTGGGGATGGTATGGTGGTGGGTGGTTGCTACTCAATCAACGAGCACAGCCATGCACACAGGACCACAGGTGTACTCGCCTCTTGGCCTCTATCTCAAATGACCGAGCATAACACTGAACACAAAAAAACAATTACGAACCGGGGAGTCATACTCATATGCGACGATGGTTGACGCGCCTCAGAAATGGCTTCAGCTAAGACAGCATGAATCACGAGGTCACATCACATGCATGGTGACATGCTGCATTCGCCCTGCGACGAGTGCTGGCGAACCAGCATTGCTGCAAAAACGGGTTACCTCGAATTCGGAGCTGAAGGCTGAGCCGTACACGAGGATCTTCTTGGGAACGCACCCTCGCAGCACACACCTGCCAGAGACGCAGCACGCGGACACGCAAAGGCACAGCGATGAGCGTCAATGAAGACACCGATGCACACGGCTGAGGGCTCTGCTGGAAGGTGCTTGTTTTGATTCAAGTGTACACTTGTATTGCGCGCGCTGGTGGAAGGTGCTGGGTGTGCGCGACGCGACCTAAGCAGTCCGCACGGCATTTGGCGCGAGGCATGAGTCATGATGAGGGAGAGAAAGGAGAAGACGCATCACCGGCAGAGCCTAAAGCTCGCCATGGCAGATTCCAAGGTTCTTCATGACCGAACCGAAGGCTTGTCGTGGCAATCTCGAAAGTCCGTCATGGCAGGGCCGAAGATTCGAAATGGCAGAGCCAAAGGCGTGTCCTGGAAAAAAACAAGTCCACTCTTAAAGCCTAAGGATCGCCATGGCAGCGCCAACAGAGAGCATTCAAGGCAACTTACGTCCCGCCGACGCCTCCTTGCGTCTCCGAACTGATCGGGTTGAACGGCAGCTCGATAGCGGCCACCTGGAAGGGTGAACACAGGAATTACCCCGAATTACGAGGTCAATTTTGAGATTAGTAGATGGCCCACAGATGCAAGTACTCTCCAACTGTAATCAGGCCTTAAGCGCGGAACGCATTGAGTTAAAACGGGGATACATGGTTCTTAGTAGCGTTATGATTAGCATCATAGGTCAATCAATAGCATTCCACGTATCACATTGCAGAGGCGAAACTAAGGCAGAATTTAAATAAAATCAAGCCGTTGGGAACGAGTTATTTCTCGCGTGAGCCACCGATGGGATTGAGAACGAATGTTACGACGCTGAATCTGTCGCCGTTCATCGCCGTTCATTCACGACAAGAAAGTTGATCCAACAGTCGAGACGAAAGAAAACCATCCAGGAAATTTGAAAACAATCTGGGGGCGAACCAGGTTCTCCGCACCTTGGCGCCAAACGACGAGGCGATTCTCGAAGCCCTGGTTCCGCCGCTGCCGACGCCGATGGTGACTAAATCCCACTCATAGTCACCATCCTCTACAGGCACAGGCCGATCAGTCGCTTCGCCAGCGGCTGTTGACATTGTCACACGTGATACTAACGGGAATTTCGCAAGACGGGTTCCAGGCCTGGGCCTAAGCGACTGAGAGAGCGGCCGGAAAGAGGACGTGAGAAGCGGCTTTGCTTGCGCAAAACCGGGGCAGCGGGAAAGCGTAGCGATCGGAGTTAAGCTTTTGACGGAATTGGGAGCTATCAGAGAATGCAGCCGGGCGGTGGAAGCGAGAGAAGCCTTGGCGAGATAAGCACCAGCGGCCATGGATCTTTATTGGATAGGCCACCAAATTGGTCTCGACCTCGCTGAAAAATCTCTCCTGAAATTCTCCCCCTAGATGCAATGCTGGCAAGAGCCTAGAGATTTCCGCAGGGGTTGGGGGCAGGATTGTGGCGGAAGATTGGCGCGCAGAGGCCAAATATGGCAGGCGGAACTACGGCTGGGGATCCCGCCGAGCCCCCTAGTTCTGGGGCATAGATAGACCCTCCCCCTCACATTTGTGCTTTCGGGGAAGCGGTTGGGGGAAAGGTAAAGGGGAGGGACGGCTGCCGTTTTGCGCGGATGAGGGAAGGCCACCACGAAATTGAGCTGATAGGGGGAAATTTCATCGGAACCAGCCTCGGGGCTTGTTTTCTCGTTTTTGGCCGACAGGCGTGCTGCGTTTAGGAAACAATCCTACAAGTCCCTCTCGTTTTTGGTTGTGTGCAGGTCCCTCTCCCCTCCACCTTCATATACGTAGATCTTAAGTCTCATATTTTCCTGGTGTGGTATTGCGCTTGCTTCTCTGGTTCTCTACCTTCGTCGCACGAGTTGGTGTGTTTCTGGCGAATACGGTTAGGTAGTCGTGCATCTTCCTTGCCCAGCCTGTGGGGGCTGCAGCCAATCACAGGTGCTCCTAACCTAACCTAACGAAGTTGCGACTGATTGAGTGGTTACCCAGTTTCTAGTGTATTAATCTTGGTTGGAAAGAAGAAATATGAGACCCGGGTTTTAACGGTCAATCCCAACTACATGCAGATTTTGCCATTGCGTGTTTGCAAATGCATGCAATTGACGGTATTGGAGGAAAGATGTCGGCTTGTCGGGTTACCATGTGGTTACTAGGCTTCCTAGTCGGATGCCATCCGAATGGAGTTTATTTTTTCTTTACCGCAGGCAGATAACGATCCGTCAGCCTCTTTCCCCTACGGTCGTCAATTGCATACATTTGCAGATTCGCAGTGGCAAAATTTGCATGCCGTTGATGTTGCCCCCAACTGTAAAGGGTTTCCAGCTTATCACTCACGGTTAATGAAACTACACGCCAAAAGCGCAGTACTATCGCTTCTTACGCAGGGTTTCTGCCCCATACGATATTTCGCTTGGGGCGCAGAATACTCCTCTTTCAACGCAGTTTTGCTTTGATCAGTTCCCACATGGCACAAACCTACAAACATAGATTGTGTACACTATAACTGCCCATTTTTATAACTTACATGCTCGGGAAAAAAAAACCCATTGAAAAAGGGCATCGACTCTCAAAGTTAGAATGCAACGGAATGCTTGACTAGAAAGAAGTTGGGGTACAAATAGGAAACCCTGCATCAAAACAAGCAAGGCAGACAAACGGTCACAAGACCAGTCAAGACAAGAAGCAAGGCAAGCTCAGGGTGGATCTCAAGGACACCACACAAATTCCGAGCACAAGCAAGCGGCCACAAGGCCAGTTCAAGAGGCCACTAGGATATATATAGGAAAACACAACAAGCAGAGCAAGCAACAAGTCTACAGCAACCGAGGGCCTACCTCAACAAGCCCCAACTGCACACAGAACCTGTGGTGGTCACCAAGCGCCAGGGCCTTGGTGAAGACGTCTGCAGTGTTGGCCTCTGAGGCCACAAAGTCCAGGCGTGCCTGGCCGCGTCGCTGCAGCTCTCACAGGAGGAAGTACCTCACGTCAATATGCTTCACCCTGCTCTCCAGTCAAGGCTCTCGACACAGGAGGATCATGGCCTTGTTGTCAGTGTACAAGGTCGGTGCAGAGCGAGGCCGCTCACCAAGGTCGGCGAGCAAGAAGGTCAACCAGCGAAGCTCCTGTGCCGCCATGGCACCAGCGTAGATCTCTGCCTCTGCACTGGAAGTAGCCACAGACGACGACCGTGTAGACCTCCACGACACAGCACCAGCTCCCAGAATGAAGCAGTAACCCTGAGTCGAGCGCTGAGTCTCCACGTCGTCAGCGTAGGAAGAGTCACAGTGACCAGTCAACGCCACTGGCTGAGTCCCTCCAAGCACAAGCCCCATGCCTGATGCAGTCGCCAGGTACTTCGCCACCCTCACAGCAGCTGTCCAGTGGACAGGACGGTGTCTCCCAGTCGCAACAAAGCGAGAAAGGATGCTGAGGGGAAAGGCGAGGTCCGGCCGAGTACAAGTCATCAGGTACATGAGGCAGCCCACCAGCTCTGCGTAGGGACCACTGGACTCAAAGGGCTCGTCCGGAAAGGGACCAGTGAGTCTATGGTCAACAGCAAGAGGTGTGGGCTGTGTGGTGGAGAACTAGAAGTCGAACCGCCGAAGGACCTGCTGCACCATGTGTGACTGAGTCAGTGTGATGGTGCGAGCGGCTCTGTCCCTGGTGATCTGCAGGCCAAGGTAGCGCTGCAGTTCACCTAGGTCAGTGCATTTGTGTCTCTTCTGCAGTTCAGACTTCACCTGAGCCAGAGCTGCCCTGTCTGCTGTGGCAAAGACCAAGTCGTCGACGTACACTAGTATAAAGAAAGGAGTGGAACCAGTGCGAACAAACAGCGACGGGTCGGCAGAGGAAGGACGAAACCCAAGGTCACGAAGCGTGGAGCGAAGAGTGTCGTGCCACTCACGGGGCGACTGGCGGAGACCGTAGACTGGCCGTCTCAGGCTCCACTGGATCCCAGGTGGGAAGGTGTCAGTGAAGCCAGGAAGGCGGCGCAGCCAGATCTCCTCATGTAGTCGGCCCTGGAGAAACGCAGTAGAGAAGTCAAGGGAGTGCAGCTCGTAGTCTCGCTGTGCTGCTATGTGCAGTAACACCCGGCAAAGGTCAGGAAGAAGTCAACTCCCTCACGCTGGCTGAAACCCCTAGCCACGTAGCGCGCCTTGAACACAGGCGGTGAACCAGGCGGCCGCTTCACCTTGAAGAGCCACATGCCATCGACTACGTTCGCCTTAGGATGGGGAACTGCGTCGACGTAGGTGCCTGTGGATCTCCAAGACGCTAACTCCGAGGCCATATCCGCTTTCCACTGTGAGGCCCACGCCCCTGACACTGCCTCGCGGTAAGTACGAGGAGTCGGTATGTCAAGGGCGTCGGGGTCTCCCTCAGGGGATAGCAGCATGGCACAGACAGAGGGAGAAGCAGCTGCCCAGTACTCCAGCTCAGACTCTCTGTCCTCTAGGACGTCACAGCCAAGGGCAAACTCACCCCCGACGGACAGAGGACGGGAGGGAGGAGCTGGCACCACACGGGTGGTGTAGTCAAGGCGACTGGCAGCAGCAAACTCAGCGACAGCGGCAGTGAGAGCCGAGACAGACGACGGAGGGAAACGAGAGTCCGTGACAAGAGTGGCGAGGACACGAGAGACAACAGGACGAACAGCGCGGTAGTAGTCAGTGACAGGAGTAGGGGGGAAAGGGAGAGAGGACGGAGGAGATGGGAGAACGGACTCTGGAGGAGGACGACGAAGAGACGAACAAAGGAGGGGAGTGCGGAGGTCGGTAACGGGAGACGAGTGACGAGCACGCGGAGGACAGGGACGGACACGAGAGTGTGGGACACCAGGTGGAGGAGACTGCGGTGGAGGAGAAGACCAGACCGCCGGACTGTCGTCAGGAGGAGGAAACGTGGGACCAAACGCTGGAGGGGACGGAGTGTGAACAGGAGGAGAGGAGGGAAGACCAAGGGCCCGAAGGCCACTCACGGGTGGGAACAACTGCCGCTCCAGAGGGAGCTACGGTGGGCGCGTCTGCGGCGGCGGTGTCTGCTGCTGCGGCGGCTGCTGCTGCTGCTGCTGCTGCTGCTGCTGCTGCTGCTGCCGCTGCTGCTCCAGCAGGTCCAACTGCCGCAACTCCTGCCGCTCCCTCTCCAACAGCACCTGCTCCTCATGCTCACGCCGACGGGCCGCCTGGAGACGTGTGTCGTGGCGGTGGGGAGGCGGAGTGGACTCCGCAGAACCAGTGTCTCCAACTCCAGTCTCCTCTAAACCAGCACCTCCAGTGCCAGCGCCTCCAGCACCAGCACCCCCAGAACCAGCACCTCCAGGACCAGCACCCCCAGAACCAGCACCTCCTGTGCCAGCACCTCCAGCTCCAGCACCCCCAGAACTAGCACCTCCAGTGCCAGGACCTCCAACTCCAGCACCCCCAGAACTAGCACCTCCAGTGCCAGCACCTCCAGCTCCAGCACCCCCAGAGCTAGCGTCACCTACGCCAGCACCTCCAGCTTCAGCACCCCCAGGACTAGCACCTCCAGTGCCAGGACCTCCAGCTCCAGCACCCCCAGGGCTAGCGCCACCTGCGCCATCACCTCCAACTCCAGCACCCCTCGAACGAGCACCCCCAGACCGAGTACCGCCAGTGGCTGCACCTCCAGCTCCAACACCAACCGAGTCCACAGTAACCTGTCGCGGAAGTACCGAAGGCTGTTGAGGGGACTGTGAGGAGGACTGCGGGGAGGGAGACGCTACCTGACGCGCAACCGAGGGTAGAGGGGTAGCGTGAGACACACCTGACGGGGCAGGACCAGGGGGGGGTGGGGGTACCGGAGGAGCGGGAGCAGGGGGAAGAGAGGGTGCGAGGAAAAGGGGAGGAGGGGGAACCGGGAGACCTCGACAGGTGTACCGGGTGTAGTAGGACACTGACTCGTCGAACCGGACGTCACGGGAGTCTAGGAACTGGTGGAGGGGCGGGTGGTAAATGGACCAGTCGGCCGAGGCTACCGGGAAACCAAGGAAGACACAGGGGACGGCGCGAGCCGAGAGCTTGTCCGCAGGTGTCGCGGACAAGCGCAAGGCAGCCCCAGA